TAATCAAGGTATACACTATTGATCAATGCCATGATAAAACTTGTGTTTTCTATTTTCATTAAGTGACAGCTGGGCACTGATTACATTCCTTGCCCTGCTGTTGCTTTGCATAAAAATAAGAGCAAATGTGCTCCACGCAGTGACGCAAACAGAATAAATTAAAAAAAAATAGACCGTTACAATCCTAACTCGGAGCTTTACAAAGAACTCTTGTACAACATTTGTGTTGAACCGATGTGGACTGATACCTATAGACCTCTGAAATGTAAAAAAATAAATGTTTCATGAGCATCCATCACTGACATTTTGTTTTACAGACCACAGAAATAAAAATAAAATGTACTTCCTTTTTAAATGTGTTCATTTTTACTTTTATCTGGGGATATACCATATATCCCATGAGGCTTATAGTACCTGGCGGGGTGGCACACTTCTGCTCTGGTCTGTTGGTCAGCAGCTCTGGAGGAGGGCTGAAAGAGGACACTGGGCCCAACACAAAGACTTTGTACAGGGGATGTAAGCAGAGCCTGCTCTAATCAACCTGCTTGCCCACCACAAAGGGAACCCTGGCTAAAGTTACCCTTTAGCTCCAGCACCACATGGTGTTTGGGCTAGTGGGTAACCTAAGACAGCATATACACACAAACACTCTCATATATACAGTAAGTGCAAAAAAGACACAGGAAGGCACAAAAGCACAACCACAGGCACACAGGAAAATACACACAGTCATACACCACCCACACTTTGTTACCCATATGCACATACACACACATAAAGAGATTCTGGGTGAACTAGCAGGAACCTGCCTCAGCAATGAACTTGTCATCTTCTCTGAAAGAGACTAATCCTTCCCTCCCTCCGTAGTACACTGGGCTTTCTCAGAATGTGGGCCTGTGTGTCACTGCCCATCACAGGACCCTGACACACTTTGTGGACAGTGAGAGTAGAGAAGGAAGCAGCAAAGTCTCTGCGGATTAAATCCCCAGGCAGTGTGACGGTCAGCCAGAGGTCTGTTGGGCTTTGTGTCAAGGAGCCAAAGTGGATGGCACCATCAACAGTGGGTCGGGCCGCTCCCTGTGGTTACCCTGAGAACACAACAGTCTTTGTGGTGTGTCGCACATATCCACAAAGATGCTTCACTAAAACATCTTCCAGTGAGAAGAGCTATTATTATCTTCGGTACAGCAAAGCCTCTTACAGATCGTTCTTTAACCGGATTGGCTTTCTGATGTATGGATACGCTTTCAGGGGCTTTGCAACCAAGGCCATTGATACAAAAACAGTTCCATTGCTATAAAAACAGTTCCATTACTATCTCCACTGCTCTCGTCTCCTCACCTCTCGTCTCCTCACCTCTCGTCTCCTCACCTCTCCTCTTATCTCCTCCCCACTTCTCTCCTCTCTTCTCTGACCTGATTTCCTAAGGTGACTGTTGTTTGGCTCTGACTCAGGGGTTTCCCACCACCCAACCCTTTCCCCACACTTGAGGGTTTTAGGTAGCATGCTAATGTTATATCAGGGCAAGGAGGCGGCTGTGGGCCAGGTAACAGGGTCGTCCCCTGTCTGACCCACACTTTGCAACTCTGCTAATAACCTCTTCACAATGTATGAAGTATAAAGAAATCCAAGGGTAGAAAAGTTGATGGCTTTTTGTGGCTATCCCACCTTTAGTCCTTTTTGTCATATTTTAATTTCACTGTTATGCAGGAGGCAACTTTAGGACATGGTAACAACGTGAGCCAGTGTGGTCAATAAAATATGTTATAAGATGTACTGATGTACATTGCTACTGGTGATACTCAACAGACATTGCAGCAAAAGTGCGCCTTTTCACAGTTGTATACCACAGGTTGTTTATCGCAATAAATTCATACAACACTGTCAGATATGCAAAAGATAAGTTTATTAAAACAGTGCCAGATTTACAACATACAAACACAAGGCAATCTGTGACTTTCATTCAATTGGCGCTTGCTAATTGTGTGTAATTAGCACCTGATTAACTAAGGCAGCAGCTCATTACTGAGTCAGCACCTAAGACTGCCCTGCAATGAATTATAATTATCTGAATTCAATGATTTTCTTGGTTTGATTCCACAGTCAAGTGTTGTTTTGAGCTAAGAAGCAACACAGATAGGCAAACTGAAGAACAATTCAGAAAGCTTTTCTAAAGCAGATGAAAATGTATTTCCTGCATTTTACATTTTGTATTAATGTTAAATCCTTCTAAGTGAATATGTCTCTCTAAAGTAGTCCAGGATAAGGCTTCTTAAAAGGAACACTTAATGCAATGTGAATGGGTTAATACCAGTCCTTTGGCCAATTAATAGCTATGTTTTTTATTGAGTCAGGCACAATGAGTTACATTTATACGGTCTATATTTTTCCTTCCCCCCCCTCCCGGTCCTAGCTAGTAAAGTAAATAAATAGATAAATACATATATAGGTAAAAATAAAGTAATGTAAAAGATATTTAAAAAAAAATCAATAGATAAGGAAATAAAGAATAATAACAACAATAATACATGTACCCATATACTCACATATGCATACCCACATATACACATATATATATGTACATACCTACACCCATACCCACACATTTACATACACATATATATACACATACATACACATACACATACATACACATACACATACATACATGGATATAAAAAACTTACATTCATAGTCCCCCCTTTCTTCCTAATTTAGTGAATAGCTATGTTTTTAATCCAGATTTTTATATTGGATTAATTTTAATTGCAAATGTAGCTTTTATTAGTAGTTAGAAGAAGACAAAGCACCACTCATGAGATGGATTTGCTTTGTCAACATTATGACAGACAGGGAATATTTTGCAACCTAGATGTAACAGCAACAAGTTGCAACAGAAGAAAGTCATGTCACTATGAAGTAGTTGCCTTTTTCTTTCTGTGTGCATGGTATACTGCCGTTTAATTGATAGAAAAGGCAGCTTGCTGTGGTATGCCTCCCTCTGTTATGATGTGTGTTTCTGTCTTTAGTGGTGCCCTCTGTCTCTTTCTTCTTTCCTGTTCTCTTCATGTTATTTCCTAAGTCCGGCTGCCATCGTTTTTTTTCTTTTCCTCCCAGCCTCATTCTGTTCCTCTCAACGTTGTCCTTCTCTTCCCCCGTCCGTCAGTCAGACGCTGTCGTCAGAGGATCCACTGCTGGGTCTTGTGACTGGCAGGCAGGGCCAGTGCGAAGCCGAGCGGCTATAAATAAAGAGCCGGCTGCTACTGCCTCTGCTGCTGTTGGATAGAGAGGACAGGAGAGCAGGAAGAACAAAGATTTTTAAAGCCACCTTTAATATCTGATTAAAAAAAAAACATTACGGTTTATTATTTAAAAACAGAGGACACGAATATGCTGACGTCAATTCACTCAATTTGAAGTTATGGCCTTTTTCAATGTGCTTGACAGTTAAACAAATATTTTAGTTTTTGAGTGTAAAAATATATTTTATTATGATACATTTGAGGAATATGGGGAAGTGATTTCACAACCTTATCCTGTGCAAGCTTCATGGTTGCTTTAGCTAAGCTAGGTGTGTAAAGAATGGTCATTGGCTTTTTATTCATTAAAGTTTTTTCATATTTGTTGTGAAGCAGAGGTTGTATTAATAGCTCAAAAGTCCTAAAAAGGACATATTTTGTCAAGTTTGATGTTGGTTAGGTGAGTAGTGCTCTGCAAAAGTAAACACTAATTGTAAAATGCATGTTCTCTGCTCTACTCAATGCATGATACATAAAGCTTAATGGTCACAAGTTAATATCTGCATGATGAGATGTTTTGGGGAAAATCTCAACTTTTATATAAGAACATAAACATTATGAATTCCTGTTGTCTTTGGAAATGTCTGTGCATGTGAAACACTGGAAGGGGGGGGGTAACTGCCCCATTGGGAGCAGCAGAGCATATCCAGTGGAAGTTTATCAATAACCTCTAACAGAGTAGTGCCAATGCGGACAGTGGGTTCTTGTCTATTTGTTTGTGTGTGGGTATCTGTGTGTGTGTGTACTCACAGCCTGTGTTGGATGACCTTTGATATAAATAGCCTGCCGGCGCTAGCTGTGATGACAGCCGACAGCACGCACCGTTGTGTGAATTTGTTTCCTGAGTAGTGCTGTTCATCGGTTATCCCTCTTGGAACAATGCCTGTATGACTGCCTGCTACCCAGCAACACTCTGGCCTCCAATTTCCTGAATCTGGTCTCAATCGCAAGCACAAACTCAGGTGGCAAACGCAATGTTATTGGTCTGTGATCAAATCATTTCGTGCAATTTTGGCAACCAGAGAATCAAGCAAAGTCCTGGTCAAGGTCAACACATGACTAGTAGGAGAAGCAAAGTATCACCAGGTTGAAATATACAAATGATCAATCCTCTTATCACTTGTATGAGAGTCTATACCACTCTTGGTACAGTAATATAAAATATTCTCAAATATTCTTTTTTTCCTTTAGTTGGTAGGTTGGCCTCATAATCGTTGTTTTATTTTGGATCTGGCGAGCCACCAGAAGCTCTACTTTTGACCGAAATGACTCCATTATTTGTTTTACACTGTCCATTCCTCTCTGCTGTACTTCTGACTGTGATTTAGGATTGATTAAAGGATGGGCTGGATGTGACTGATGTTTCAGCTATGCCCAATAGTGCTTTTGTCTGCTTAAACACCACCTTGACTCCGCCACTTAAGACCTAGGTATCACAAATGATCTCAAGAATGTGGCTTTACTGTGACACAACTAAGGTGTAGCATTTAAGCTCTCACTATTTTAATCTATGTGTTATTAACATAAGCTTTTAAACTTGTGACTCTGGATATTCCTAGTCCTACCAACAGTTATTTGTTTTTTTACCTATTCTTTGACACAGTAAAGTCAAACTAAGGAACTTGAGAAATAACAAAAGTAATACTTGAACTTTTCTCTAGATTGCTGTATCTAAATCTTCTCTTTCTGTCATTCTCCTAGATCTGGAGCCCGATGACAACACGTCGTTCTACATCCTGAATGTGGGCCAGCCCCAGTCTATGATCACCAACCACCAGTCTGTTGGCCTGCCTCGTCATGGCATGCAGTCCCACTCCCAGTTCATCAGCTCCTCCCCACGCCTTCACTCACACAGACAAGGATCGGATCCTCCGAGATATGAAGCCCCAGACTCCAAGTATGGCTCCTCCCCTCTGCTGCCCTCGGCTCCTGTGGAGGCGCCGAAGGCCTTCGAGTGCCCCAGCATCCAGATCACCTCCATCTCCCCCAGCTGCCAGCAGGAGATGGACGCCAATGAGCAGGATCTGAGGGCCAATGGGCCTGATGGGGACTATCATGTGGATAGGCCCCTGTCCAGAGACCACCTGTACCTGCCTCTGGACCACTCGTACCGGGACTCTTCGCTCAGCCCGAGTCCGTGCAGCAGCCTCTCCTCTCGGAGCTGGTTCTCTGACGCCTCCTCATGTGAATCTTTCTCACACGTCTATGACGATGTTGACTCGGAGCTAAACGAGGCGGCGGCCCGCTTCACCCTCGGCTCCCCTCTGACTTCCCCGGGATGTATCTCCCCTCAAACCTGTGGGGGGGTTTTGGAGGAGCAGCCCAACTGGCAGCACCATCACCCCGCCTTCGTGCACCACTCCCACTCCATCAGCCTGTCACCCCGGACGTCCCCGTGCCACTCGCCACGCACCAGTGTCACCGATGAGAATTGGCTTAGCCCGCGTCCCACCTCTAGGCCCTCCTCACGTCCCACCTCACCCTGTGGGAAGAGGCGCCACTCCAGCGCTGACATCTGCTACCCAGGCTCCTTGTCTCCTCATCACTCACCCTCACCCACGCCAGGACCTTCACCCAGGGGCAGCGTGACGGAGGACACATGGATCGGCAGTCCTTCTTTAGGCATGTCTCCCTTCCAGTGCTGTCCATCAGAGGCAGACATCCCGTCCAAGACGAGGAAGACGTCGCAGGACAGAACAGCAATGCAGACTGGGACAGGGGAGATGGGGCTAGATGACCAAGGAAATATGTCTCCTAATCTAGACTCTCCTTCTGACGATGGTCTCCACAGTCTGAAGAAGGACGGGCCCGGGGAACAGTTCCTCTCAGTGCCCTCTCACTTCTCATGGAATAAACCCAAACCTGGTCACACGCCCATATTCAGGTAAACCTTCTGATTTTTAAGAATAGTAGGAGACAAACTGTAGGATTTCACTAAAAACCATCTTGTCTCAATGTAGCTCCAACAATCACTAAATGTAAATGATTCATGCAGATGTAACGTGGGAGAGGAAGTGACAAAACATTTGAACTTTTCAAATGTCAGTGAGGACTTTCTCAACTTTTTGAAATAACTTTCTGTTGCAATCATTTTTTTCTTTTCTGTTTCCTGTATGTATTTGTTAAGAGTTGTGACAACATGTATAGGGGGGCATAATGGATTCTTGATGGATTAACATCCTCGAACTAAGCAGTGTTTTTAACTTATAGTAAAAAAGCACAAGGCAATGTGGCATTAACTGCATCTTGGTCAGTATTTTGTTAATCATTGAGGCAATCACTGCTTGGCAAGACATCATTATATGTCGTCAATCTTAAAATCAATCAGAAGGTCAACTAAATAATAGACCACAGTGATGATTTTATTTGTATGGAGAGTGTTGCGAGGAGTCATAAATATTGGAAAGTTTGATCTAGGGTGACAAGTGTGATTGCAATGCTGTCAATGAGTATCTAATAGCACATAATAAGCCTTTGATCGAGCAGACACATGTTCAATAGCAAGGGAACTTTGAGCTTTGAACAGTATCACCAGTATTCATCTGATTTAGTTACATCATAGAGTAATACAAGTTGATTAGTTTGTGGCAGGGAACATGTGGACACACAGAACCAACCACTCCAAACAGGCACACAAACACACAGGCAACATATCCACATTAAAGAGTGATGGGTGATTTAAGAAACTCATAATGGAGTATTTTTGGAGAGGAGTCGGCTGTCTGTTCTCCAATGTGTGCAGCAGATGAAGACTTGGCCTTGTTTGTGTGCACTGGCCCCTAGCACTGTAAATCAGCACAGGGCACATATGGCAAGGGGGCCACACACACACACACACGCACACACACACACACACACACACACACACACACACACACACACACACACATGGACATAACACAAACGCTCGCTCACATAGACCTAACACTCTCCAGACAATAGCAGGGTAACAGAGACGGCTCTATGATGAGTCACCATTTCATATTTGCATCTTTGCCCTTGTTAGTGAAATGTCCTTAGGCCACAGAATCATGTCTACATCGCTGTATCATGAGCAAAACAGAAGCTGTTGATTCCAATAATGACCAAAAAGTATTCCGACATACATTACCGAACCATTAGGGGCTGCCCAATTATTTAAGACGTTATCAAACTCGCAGTATAGACCTATGCAATATCTACATTGCAGTAAACTCAATATTGGGTAAGTGCAAATTTGTTTTCAAACATTACTCTAATTTAAAGTATATTTTGGTGCTGCAGAGAAGTCCTGGCTTATAAATAAGTATTCTTCAGACTTTAAAAAAATGCAGCTCTAGAACAATTGCCAAACCTGCCTGAAGTAGTTGCTCACATTGACATAAAAAAAGGCATAGTCTTTTAACAAAATGTAAACATGTATAGTCAGACGGTGTTAGATCAGTGAGTTGAGTAGGTCTGTGTTTTGCTTGTCACCTGCAGCTCCTTTCAAGCTTTTAAACAAATACCATACTTAACCAGGTCAGGCCGGGTCAGAGAAGGTATGAAAGTAGGACAGAATACTGCCCTGGCCTATTTTGGAGTTGCCTTTGTGTATGCACATGTGTGTTACTAGTTTGTTGACCAGATGGCTCAGGTGGAATGGGCTGGCTTGGGTTAGGGCGGGTGGAGTTGTGTTCAGACACTTCAGTGTTCAGTCTTCTCACGCCTTACTCCCTGAGCTCTCGGTAATGAAATATTAACGGCACTCTTATAGGGCTGTGCGAGTACTGTATGGCAAAAATCATAATCACGATTATTTTGGTCAATAATTGATATCACGATTATTAAATACGATTATTCATTGACTTTGAAAAAACATCAATTTATTGAACTTTAAAACAAATACAAATAATCATTTGAACAGTATTTTTTTAACTGTTGATTACCCTGAACGTATAATTCAACTGCAAAACCAATACAAAAATAAATTATACATTTATATTTACATTTAAATAAATAATATAAAAAATAATAAATACCAATAAACAAGATCAACAAATATTTTGGAGCGCACTTCCACAAGCTACTAAACATATATAAATATGATAAATACAAATAAATTAGACTAAAATAAATTAGATCAAATATGTTGCACTCTCACAACCTAGCAAAGCAAAATAATCGTTTTTTTCGATTATGTTGTTTTCGTAAGGCCAAAATCGTAATTGCGATTAAAATACGATTAATTGCACAGCCCTACACTCGTATGACTTGGCTCCCAAAAGATTTATTTAAAGAAAACAACGGTTTTACTCAGTGGCAAATACACAGTATGTGCATCTCCAGTCAGTAAGATAGAATTTAGTAGCAGGAAAATATAACAATGACCACTGCATCACTGGGATAAGTAAATGAAATACAAGTAGCAGAGGAACTGATGGTATTATTGAGGTTGGATGTATGCTTAATGGTGTACCATACGGCAAGAGAAAAAATGCGCTAGATGCTCAAGAAATAATTGTAATAGGCTTTCATTATAAAGCTACAGGGCTTCCATTGTACAATACATGTTTACAATGCATTGAAATATGTAACTAGGTGTCATTTCACGACTTAAAATATGACTGGTTGGTGCAACATGTAGGCTACAGGATTCATTGGATGCACAGGCTGATGGTGGGACAATGGAGAAGAAATGTAGAGAAGGGTATTTGGGTTGTGGGGCAGTGATCGGAGTGGGAGCCCCTACAGCATGGCTCAGACATTTGAGAAAGGTTATGCTGTGTCAGGACATAAGCCACCGCTTCTGCTCTGCTCCGTCACAAAGCTCATATTTCCTCTGTCCTCCTCTACTCCTGTTACCGGAGCAGCCATGCTAACCCACACTTCATTGGTGGTTATGTCATAGTAACCGGGAGAAAAACAGAATTAGGAGGCCTTTATACACTGTTTTAGATCTTAGATAGAGCAGGTGGCATGTGATCACAGCTATTTGTTGACTATTGACACAACAGGCTAAACATTTTACCATCACGGTTACTCAGAGCAGATAATCATACTGTCATAACTTTGTTTTGAAGCAGGATATGACTTTTATAGAACTGTTTGTGATATACATTATGTGCCTAAAGTCTATAGTCACTGAGTTTCTTAAGCTTGACAGTTACAAGTACAACTTAAAGTCGCTTTAGGTGAGCTTTCAATATCACCATGCCATAGGAAAATGTGTGTGCATAGATTTGAAACCAAAAAGCTGCATCTAGTACATCTTCAAAAATATCAGACACATGACCTTTCATCCCATAAATGCAGTGTTTCCTTTGAAATTGGTGCCAGTCTGTAAGGCAGTGAAGTGAAATGGCTCCACTGAAAGCCCTACTCAGATGTCTTTCATTCAGTCTGATCAGATTGGTCTGAACGTAGCCAGCACTTGACAGGCGTTTGGAAAGGAAAGAATTACGGGAGTCAGCCATGCTGGCTAAAACTTTACAAACTTTCCCTTGAGAATTATTTGTACTGTCAAAGATCTATCATGCCGTTTAGACTTGGATGTTTGCATGCTAGGAGCTTCTACCCTTTATGCCAAGTAAAAGCTAATGCCACTGTGCCACAAAGAGCCTACAGTGGCCCACACTGTGCTGGAAATCAGTGTGTAGCATAGGCTGCTTCTTGGCCCATGACACAGCATATACTACAGCTGGACTTGATTTACTGACTCAGGCCTAACATACACAGCTATAGACATAAAGACACACATGCATGGATTCGGTGAGAGTACAAACGCACACACACACACTCACACACACAGGTGTGTAATTTACGTCTATACTGCCACGCTAGTAAACAAGGACACTCTGTAACTGCTACCAGACAAAACACCTGGATGACACGCATATAGCTTGTTCTGCCCTATAGTAGGCCTCTAGCGCCATGAATCATTAATTGTGTACACATTGTCAAGATGTCTCAAAGGTTTACGTTATGACAGTTACTACAATTCAAGTACATTGTCAGGTTAAACATATTTAAAGGTTCAGTAAAGGTATTACAGAGTAGAATAAAGAGGTATTCTCAAATTAGCAAACGCCTAAAAAATGTGTCAAACTATGACATAAGGAGATGAAACCATTTAGGTAGCACAGCACAGCATTAACCTGTGGACGAACCATCTTCTGAATGTGTTTTGGTAACATTTGATTATTGTACTGGAACATAATTAATCAATTATAATCAGCATCTTGGATACAAGAACATTTGGAAAAGGTTACAACTTGGGTTGATGCTAATGGTTCATGTCAGTGTTTACTAAATGTGTTCAGGGATAATCTGATCTAATGCACTCGGATGGACAGACACAGTTTCTCAGTGGAGAAGGCCATTGGGTTTTTTTATTTCTGAGTGCAGCTGTTCAAATATGATTGTGGACTACACAGTAAACAACTAAAAACAGAGGCATGGAGGAAAAACACACAATGCCAGCCCCTGTGGTGCACTAAACATTAAAATACACACACACACACACACACACACACACGCACACACACACACACACACACACACACACACACACACACACACAGAGAGAGAGTAATTTAGTCACTGTCTGGCACACACTCTCATCCTGCCTCGACTTCACTGACCCACACAGAAGACTCACAAAGAAAAACCCCCCTCAGTAAATGATTCAACCTTAGAGTCTTAACCTGACCTATTACCAGTGCTGTGTTTAAGGACAGGATTAATGTATGTGTGCTCTCCAGTGATTCACCGTCTGCTGGGGCTGAGCATGTTAATCACACATTTCACACCTATCATGCTGTCTCGGGCCACGAAGGGGGAAAACCACCTTTTAACCTTTTCAGATTGCTGTAACAGCCGCAAAGTTGAAAGAGAGGTTGTCTGGCTTGACCCTACACTTTAATGTCACATAAATGACTAAAACAGATTTTGAAATGAGGCAAACTTTTTCTGTCAAGGCATATTTCTTCATCATTGATTACATGTCATGCTCTCAGCTTTAAGCTTCAGGGCAGCTTTTTTAAATCAAATACTACAACCACATTTGTTTTAAAGAAGACTGAGAGCCATTGTTTTGTATCTTTGCCATGAACACGCCCCTTTAGGAGACTAACGCCAGGTCTGAATATATTACCTCCAATGGGAGAAGTGAACGTTAACCTGGATAAGCCGATCCTTTCTCCTTAGAGTCACCAAGTATATTTTGGACCCATTTTTCACAAGTCATATATATTTCAAACAATCTGAAACAAAAATGACGGACGGACAAATCTGGGGAAAAAGACTGAGACCAATTTCTCATATTTGTCTATAACGCTTACATGAACTAACTTTCACAAACACCCTATTTATCTTTGCCCTGTTTTTACTTAAAGAGCATCTTTTTCAACAACCTTGCTTTGGTTTTCTCTCCTCAGGACCTCCTCACTGCCTCCTCTGGACTGGCCGCTGCCGAGCCAGTTTGGCCAGTATGAATTGAAGATAGAAGTGCAACCCAAAGCCCACCACCGAGCGCATTACGAGACCGAGGGCAGCCGAGGAGCCGTCAAAGCTTCTTCCGGTGGCCACCCGATTGCCAAGGTAACATATTTGGACATTTTCCCACATGTTTGGTGCTCTTCCCGCTGCTCAGGGAAAACCCCAATCATTTTGTAATTTAACTCTGAAGCTGTAGAGTCTAGACCATTACATAAATGTTAACAGGATTAACTGTGAAAACATTTCTCATACCATGCAGAAAAATGACCAAATCTCTTTTACAGAACATTACTTTTGGTTTTGTGCTCTATTAAACAAAATACCAGCACTGATGTCTGTACCATACTGGGGATTACATTTCCCCCTGAGTTCATGGCTGATTTACTGTACGTGTTAACATGATGCTGGCCATGCATTAGTTAAGTGAGACCCTTCTCACTGAGCACTTATCCAGCTCCGCTGCGTTAACCACACGGCAAAGACGTCAACTCTTGAGGCCTGCAGTGATGAAATAAAACATGAGAAGTAAACTGAAACGGACATATTTGATACATTTAGCAGCGGTTTCCTGGGAGATTGAGACATTTCCAGTTTGTTAGGATTGCCTTTTCTACTGCATTTGAGTGAATTATATTTTATCCTAACAGTGTATCATCTTTCATACTTAAAATGCAGATCATTATATTTGAGTGATAAAATAAACATCGTCTGCCTCCACAGAAGTTGCAGTTAAGCACCTTTGTGATATTTGCAGATAGCTGTCACTAAGGCCCCGTCCACACGGAGACGAAACGGAGACGAAAACGAACCAAAGTCGTTTTCAAAAAAGTCTTCCGTCCACACATGGAGATGCTGTAATACATATGCCGGGCCTGTAAGTGGCGCTGTACTTCCGTCACAAAATACACCAAAAGCAGCGAAGAAGACCGATGACGATTATTATTATTATTATTATTATATTATATTATATTATTATTGTTGCTGATGGTTGTGGTAGAGGAGCTGTAGATTTTGCACTAAAATCTGTATCATGGTCAGTAGCGTCTGGAGCACGAACGCAACCCTGTGATCCGCCATTGTTGTTGTTGTTGGCGAAACGCATCAGCAATGACGCGGGTGACGCAGGGGTGAGCAGGAGAGGTGGGGAGAGGCGGAACTATGGCGTCATCGTTTTCAGGAAATGATCATATAGGGCGTACACACGGAGCCGCAAGCGTTTCGTCCTCAGACATACCCACTTTGGGAGCCGTTATCAAAGTGTATCGGATTCAGGCTCATAACGGGATTCAACTGATATCGTCTCCGTGGGGACGGGGCCTTAAGACTTATGCTACATCATTGGACTTTGAATTAGTAATTGTTCAGTCTTATAGCCCGATCATCAGTCAGCAGTTGTGAATAAGCATTATATTTAGGGTTTAATTTTATACAATACACATTAGCATATGTAGATTGCCCCAGTCAGTCAACCTGTTGCAGACACACAGACAGAAAGCAGAGCTTCAGCTGTAGCCCAGTCCGCTGCTCTGACATTTGATATCACCTGCGAGAGTCTAGCTGAGCCCATAGAGCTACGGCTGCTTTGCTCTCCCAGCCAATGAGAGAGAGAGAGAGAGAGAGAGAGCGAGAACACAGTGACAAGCTTTCTTTGTGCGTATGATTAGGATAGGACCTTGACTGGACCATGACCATTGTTGGGTTTCACAACAGCGACTGACTTCAGACTGGCAGTTTGGTTCCCTGTCCAACAGCCCAATAGGGTTGCCACGTATAGTCCAATATTCTCCGTATATTTTGCACCCTTGCATCTACTTTGTTAGAATTGCAGTGGCGTTTTAATCATTTTATTTGTCAAACCTTTTTAGAACTGAGCGAGGATTTTTCCTAAAAAACTAAATGAAGATACTTGTAAGCTTTATCTTGCTGCCAGTTTTACGTTTCATTTTTTTTATGGCTTTTAGTATTGTATATTATTGCATCCAAGTGCACCATTAAAGAATAAAGACGCTTGAAAAGAACATTATTATCTAAATTGCAGGGACAAGAAACAAGCATTAGCTTTACTCTAAGCAATATATTCCATCTGTGGTGAGATAACAAAAATGCATCAGAAACAAGGAAAGATTTCGGTACAATTATTATTGTTTAGTTATTATTTGTTGCAGGCAGCGTGTGTTGTGTTGTTTGGGACTACAGAAGGAAACCAGCTGTGTTCTCAGGCTTTTTCAGTCTTTACTCATTATGCACTATTTACATAAGATATAATCATTTAAAATACCAAAACAATCCAAAGCTGTGGACACAATATTTCCTGAAACAACATGGAAGCCCAAATGCCTGCCATTTGTTGCTTTAGAAACTCAATGCCCTCATGCAGTCTCCTTGAAGGCCAATCATTAACCTCAGTTGCACCAAGATTCTATCCTGCCATATGTGACGATGCATAATTTAGCTGTCAAATGGTTTCAACTGAGCATTTGCCACGCTTGCCCTCATTCCTCTTCCCCAGAGGGAATTGTTTAGTTAGCACTGCAGTCGGCTTAACCGTGTGTGAAAGCTGCAGACCCTACGTTTCCTGTTTAAGGGTCATTTGTTTTATGTTATTATAGGAATTAGTTTGTGTTGGGCTAAATCTTGACCAAGATAAGAATCTAAAGCAGTTAGATTAACAGATCCAATAATGGTTAATCACATGTAAGGTCAAGCAGGGAAACTCAGATGATAAGCCTCAAGAGAAATTAAGTTTACTACCACTTTTAGTAGATGAGCTTGGTTTACTAAACCCTTTGTAATTTATGGATAAATTGCCATACAATAAATCTTGTATTACAGTTTTTATTATAGATGCCTTGACCTTGTACTGTAAAGTTACAAAAAGTGAGTGGTTACAACTTTTATCTTAAGCAGTTTGTTGCTACTACCAGTGCTGGAAATGAAAGATCTTTCAAAATCACAACGAGAAACTGCAATGTGTAGTCGCAGACAGAGAGTAGACAAAGCGAGAGCCCAAACAAACTACATTTGCATATCATGAGCAGCGATTTGCAGAGCCATGTGAGAGGAAATGATCGGGTGAATGAGTTCTGTGAGGGAGGATAGGGCAAGTGAGTTTAATTGCTCATAATTGTTGGGTTATATCTGAGGTTAAACTTAAAGGGGACCTATCATGCAAAATGCACTTTTGTACGTCTTTTATACATGAATATGTGTCCCCGGTGTTCCAGGGAACTCACCAAGTGTCAGAAAACACAACCCTCTCTATTTTCCTCCATACCCAAATCTCTAAAAAAGGGGCTGCAACGGATCTGATTAAAACTGATCCAGATTTGAACACTGTCCTGACGTCAGGACGGTGGCGCTACGGCTATTGGGCCAACTCTCCACCTATCAGGGGAATGTGGGGTTGGGCCACGGCCGGCCATTGCCGCTCGAAAGCGCTGGAAACGCTGTAGTACATATGCCAGGCCTGTAAGTGGCGCTGTAGTCTGCCACAAAAGCAGCGAAGAAGACTTCCCGCGCATGGTTGCTATGGTTACCCTTCTGTTTATTCTCCGCTGTGGCTTTTTTTTCTCCCTCCCCGAGGCAAGCGTTTGCTCCCGCTGCTTTAATTCAATGCAATCCCTCCCCGTCGAGGCAAGCACTGTAATTCTCTCCGGTTAGTCCACCAGCAGATGACAAACACCCACCTCTCCGCCTCTTCCAAGGAACGAGGGGACCGTGCGGCAGAGTTTCAGTTAGGTTTTCTTTCGCCGGTCAAGATGTCCATTAAAGTTTAAATCTTCCGGACAAAATTAGAGAAGTGCCGGTCAAAGGTCTTCTTTGTTATTTATTGAGCTTTAAAACAAATGAATAACGACTCTATAGGCCTATAATAACACGGAGGACGGAGATCTCTTTTTCTCCCCCTCTTCTGACTTGATCAGAGCCCGCTCCCCTCTCCTGCAGGGGGGCGTGGTCAGCTGCAGCTCACAGAATCAGCCCTGTGCAAAAACAGTGCTGGAGAACAGCAAATAGAGCGAAATGAGGCATGGCTAAAATGCATGATCTGTTTGGTATTTTGAAAACAGAAACGTATAAATATACCTTATATAGGTATGGCCCTACAATATATCATTTAAATATAGCATGATAGGTCCACTTTAAGCAAAACCTCATTCTGTCTTCACCTGCTATATATATACTGCTCCACTCTTTCTAGTGTAGTTGCTGTTAATTATTTTATTACCGCAAAATGTATATTTTGATGTCCTGCTGTAAATTGCTAACTAAGATTTTCAATATTGTTAACTCATAGTAACTCCCTTGTACTTTACAGAAAACCTAAAGCTCCAGTTACATTTTACGATAGACTTATGATAAACCGCCTATGGGCACTTTTTGTAGTTTAGACAATATCAAAAAACAGACGAACATAAAATGAACAGCCGGCTTGTGATAGAATCAGCACTTGTCCAGCAGGTCTAACATTCAGTCTGTGTTTACTAAACACCCAGTCCTCTATTGTTGGTCTTCTTAGCCTTTTTTGATGCTCTGTGCAAGGTCAGTGCCTTACCCTGTGACGTCCTTTTTTTCACACAAAAAACAATTTTGTGTTATGTATTAATGTTTGAGCAACAGAATAGCATTTTCTTTGAGGGCTAGATACATGATCAGACCTATGTTAAATAAACAAAAACCTTCAACAAGGATAAACAACAGCAAAGAAAGTGCATTATTGGAGGGAATGTCAAAGTCATTTGACCCAGTATATGTTGGACGTAGAAGGTTAGACCACCTGAAACCATTAACAAGCTCACACATATCATGTTCCCAGGTGCAATGTAGGTGTGAAGCCAGCTATTCCCGGAAGGCCCAGTGACACAGGTGTCGATGTGTGTGATCACAGCTTTTCTAACACAGAGTTCGAATACATAGATTGGACAGTTTGGACTATATTTCCAATAAGTCCGAAATTAGCAATTAGACGGGCAACATTGAGAAGGAGCCTTCCCTTGTTATAATGACAAACATTGATTTATATATGGTAGATAGAGATACGTTACTGATACAACAGCAGCTGCCCTTTCTAAAGATTGTACTTCTACCACCTCTCATTCCCCTCG